GGTACAGGTATCCTCATTTCTAATACCTGGAAATTCAATAAACTCTTCCCACTGAGCAATTTGAATATCACACAATCTTGGTTACTACTCCTATTAAAATGTACATTGCTATCATTTACCGCCCACCAGGGTGTAATCTGAATGATTTTGTGGTGGAACTGGACATTCTACTCTCAGAAATCCCTGATGATGGAACACCACTGATTGTAATGGGAGACATGAATATACACACTGATAAAGCCCAGGCAACAGACTTCCTTGCTCTCCTTTCCTGATTTGACCTCACGCAGGTCCCAACTCCTCCTACCCACAAAGCTGGCAACACTCTTGATTTAAAAGGGTTTTCAACACACAAACCATTAATATTTGCAAAGTTAAGCTAAAATATGAGGCTACAAAATTAAGAGCCGTTTGGGAGTCGAAAGAGACGGCTCTCTGAAAAGAGCCGAACTTCCCATCACTAGTCCACACTAGCCTCATCTCTGAACAAGCTCTGCCCCCTGGTGTCCAAACCCGCTCGCAAATCCCACCCTAACCCATGGCTCACTGAGTCATAAGAGAGCAAAGAGCAGGGCTGAGGTCAGCAGAGAGAAAATGGCAAAAATCCAAACAGTCCGCTGACCTCAATGACTATAAGCAAAGACTTGTCTCACTCTCCTCCAGCCTGAAAACGGCCAAGACAACATATTATCAGAACAAGATATGCAATGCCACAGATACAAGAAAAATGTTTTCTGCTTTTAACCCATGCTTCACCCACCTCCTCCTCCACCCTCCGATATGTTCACACCAGACATGTTTGCCTCGTATTTTAATGAAAAGGTTGCAACCATCAGTAACCAGTTTTCTGAGCCTGACCAACTCAGCCCAAAGGCACCAACCAAAACTACCTCACTTGACTCATTCTCCTCTCTGACTGAGGATGAAGTCTCTAAGCTTGTGCTAGACTCTTGGCCCACCACCTGTCCTCTGGACCCAATACCATCAAGCCTCCTGCAGACCATTTCCTCTCCGCTTAATGCTGCACTTAAGCATATCATCAACTCCTCTCTGTCAACCGATGTGTTCCCCACCGCATTCAAGCAAGCTTGGGTCACCCCTCTGACCTCTGAGCATAAGCTGCATTCAAAAATCACATTTCAGGAGTGACATAAATACATAAATAATGTTAAATAATGTTCGGAGATTGTCCATTACAAAAACATGTGAGTGTGCTCACAGTCCATGTGCAGCCCATGTCTACACACATCTCAAAGCAATGTTTCCTTTAGATCCCAATCCCTGCTGAAATGTACACACATGGTTCAGCCCCATATTCTGCCCTCAATACACACACATTCAACCTTAAAAGGACAGTACAAAGCTCCTCATGGAGGGAAATGCATACAAATGATCGATGGGATGTTTCTAGCCATGAAAAACAGCAACAAATGGGAGAAAAAGGAAAAAAAAGGTGGTTTTGAATGACGCAGAAGAGAGAAAATTTGGCTGAATTTCTGTAGAAATCTTTTGATATTGTTTTAATTAAAATACCCTTAAGGAATATGGCTCACTATACCTCTGCAGGTTTGAATGATTTTTATGACGTGGATCTGTCAATGAAATTAAATATTTTGTTAAATTAAATGAGTGATAGGCATAATTCACCACCTCACTATCAGCGTCCCAAAATGCCCCTTCTCCAAAATGTTTACCACCACAGACTTCAAATGTAAAGTGTGCCTCAGCCTCCTCTCGTTGAACTGGTTGAAGCCAAAGTATCCCCGTGACAGGCTGACATGTTGGGCATTTGCAACCAGAGTCTGTGTGGTAGAGATCTGCTGAAAGAGCCAATAACAAAAACACACATCTCACTTTTTGATGAAAGGTCAAAGGGCACCTCAGGTGTCCAAAGCAGAACAAATTCTTGCGAAAGGTCTGAAGCAGTCATTCATCATGGTTACCGTAAGTTCACTGACTGTTGTGTCACTAGTGGATTTCACAGGATCCGTATGCGCAGCAGGTCTGTATTTATGAAGAGTAAGCACAGCAGTGAACAGCCATGCAGCTGTACTTGAGGGATCACAAGATGACAGCAGAACTACAAGATCACGCTGAAATAAAGAATAATGTGACTTTGTCTTTCAGAGGTTGAATTGCTGTTCCATTGGTGCCTGTTTTGATGTAATGTTGATTAAAGTGATGGGATATGCAATCAGGTACGACGGAGGATTAGGGCCATGTTACATTTTTTTATTTTTTTTATTTCGAGATTAAAGTCGTAAATTTACAAATTTATTCTCGTAAATTTACGACTTTAATCTCAAAATTAAAAAAAAAAAAACGTTTTTAACGTGGCCCTAATCCTCCGTCGTAATCAGGAGCCTGTACATTGTATTTTAATTTGGAATTGACATCATGCTTTATCTGTTCTCTTGTCTTCTTTGTCTACTTTGACTTCCTGTCTGCTCTGTTCAGTTGGACACATGCTTGAGGTGGGCTCCATTGAAAATAGATTGCGTGTATTGTGGAGTGGAACGATGCCGAGCAGAGTTTGCAGTAAATACATGAGAATGGACTAGAGAGGGCGAGTGTGCGGCACAGACGGAATCATGATATTTAACACCATAATACATATATCTTGAACTTAAAACGATCAACATGATCATAACTGATGACTATGGGTTCAAGAAAAAATGATCTGACATGCAGTTTATACTTTGAACCATGTCATCTCTGTTAAAGGGATACTTCACCCATTGAAACATGAATCTGTATTGATATTGGGTCATATATGTAATGTGAAATAAATTTTGAAGTTGGTGCCTTCTTGGCTGAGAAAAGGCAGAAAGTGTCTTTTTGGCTCGTGGATGAAAGACACCAAATCCCAGAATGCACAGCACCACAGGCCACTCCCACTAAGGTCCTCTAGTTCAGAATCAGAAATATTTTATTAATCCCAGAGGGAAATTTGATCGATACAGTTTCTCCAAAATATACAGTATAGCAGTAGAAATATATTAATAAAAACATTTACAGACATTTACTTCAACACATAAGACCATTTCCTCAACTGATTCAGAGATTTCTTCCAGAATTGATCTTGGAAATTCCTGGCAGAAAACAGACTCTATGTCTGTGTCCATAGACAAACAGTGAGAGCACCTACACTACCAGTCTACCCCGGCTCCTCGTCCTCACCGCCATCGACAGGCAGGTCTTGTGTCGTGGCCAGTAGTCCGGCCGGCGTGAGCCCTGCCGCCGGGAGCACAACAAATGGTTAGATTTGGGTCGATCAATAAACTTAACACGACCTTTATCCCTTCCATTAATCGTGCATGCTACAACAGGTTTTTTTTTACCTCACTGAATGAGTGACTTTTGAGCGGTGGCAGAGCAACCTGGAGATAAAACAAACATCTTAGAGTTGAGTGGTGGACAGCGGGGGTAGCACCAGGACGTTGGTTCTTCCGTTGATACAATCACTGTCCAGCCCGATTACCATTACATCAGTATTGTTTTTCAATTTAGTGCAACTGACCTGTCACACAATGCTAGCTCCCTACTCAGATAATGCATATGGAGTGAGTCGTGAATTAACATAGTTATTTTGTTCTGGTAGCATTATTTCATAGGGGATAAGACTACCTGTCGTTTGGCATTTTTGGACAAAGCAGCACATCTTGACAGAACGCAGAAGGCCGTACAGAGATGACCTCGGACCGCTGCTATGTTCAATAGTAACAGGTAACCAGGTATGGGGTGGCACTCTGTGGACATGGGAGGGAAACCATTCTCCCTATTGAAAGTCATGAACTATTTAATCCTCTTTGAAACTACTATTTTGAGATAGGTTATGATGACTCATCATATTTGTTGTATTAGTTCTCATAAAGTAGTGTTTCCTATAATCTTCTAATCAGATGATCTAGGTATGTTCTTTTATAAACTTGATTTCACTCCAATTAACGCCACAAAGACACTTTTCTGAGCATGTCTCCACTTTCCACACTTACAGTAACTGATCTGTTGAAACAGCAGGCAAAACATTCAGAGGTCAATGGACACCAGAGTTGTTTGAAGTTGAATGCGTTTTATTGAATGTGGCACGAGTTCCATGTTTCACACGTACACTGGTTACACAGATGTTGACTGTTTAGTTACTTTGAAAAAATGCATTTCTTTTTTTTTTGTATCAAACTGAAATCAGTGAGGAGCTGAGGGTCGACCAGACTTCAAACCTTTCCTGCAAAAAAAACAAAAAACAATAGAAAATAAACATAATTATTAACAGCAAAGGCACAGACTGGTTTCTTTCTTTTGTTTGATTGATTTTGTTTGCATTCATCAATTTAAGATCACCGGAGAGAACAATTCTAATGTCATGAATCTGTCATGAAACACGTCATGAATCTGACGTAGCTTTTTCTTCTAAACTTTCTAAAGAGCAGATTTAAGAAAAATCTGAAGAAGATATTGGTGAATGAGACCCAATGGTATTAAAGATAGTTACCTTCAACAAAAGAGTACTTGTAATTGGCCTCATCTTGAGCACCTGTGAGAGAAAAAAAAGGAGAGATTTAAAAAAAGGGTAAAATTTGTGTTTTGTCTGAAAAGTATTTTCACTTTTCAGGTGACGTACATCTCTAAAGGGAGCAGGGTTTGTTAAAGTGAGTAGTGGTCTCTGTAAATGATGTCTAGTGCAGAGAAAGTATCTGGTTTACTTTGCTGGTAGTAGTCATAGATGTTGACCACAGACTGGTTTCTTTCTTTTGTTTGATTGATTTTGTTTGCATTCATCAATTTAAGATCACCGGAGAGAACAATTCTACTTTTTTTAAAACACGTCATGAATCTGACGTAGCTTTTTCTTCTAAACTTTCTTAAGAGCAGATTTAAGAAAAATCAGAAGAAGATATTGGTGAATGAGGCCCAATGGTATTAAAGATAGTTACCTGCAACACAAGGGTAGTTGTAATTGGCCTCATCTTGATCACCTGAGAGAGAAAAAAAGGGTAAAATTTGTGTTTTGTCTGAAAAGTATTTTCACTTTTCAGGTGGTGTACATCTCTAAAGGGAGCAGGGTTTGTTAAAGTGAGTAGTGGTCTCTGTAAATGATGTCTAGTGCAGAGAAAGTATCTGGTTTACTTTGCTGGTAGTAGTCATAGATTTTGACCACAGCTGGCTTCAGGTCCGACACTGGAAGCTCCTGTCTGAGCTCCAGGTCATATTGGATGGGGATGTCCTTTGATAACTGTTGGAAGAAAAACAGACGAGGCAATCAGAAAACAAAATCTGCCGAGCATTAATTATTCTCGGTCACTGCGATGTCTCTCACCTCTTTTATGTACACCACAACATGGTCATCCTCGTGTTCAATACGCTCCACTTGTGCTTCACCTTTAAGCTGTAAGTGAAAAACATCAATAAAAAGCAGTATGACTGGATAGGATCAAAGAAAAGAAAGACTAGAAAGACAAGAAAAGAAAACAAGATTACAAAATTAGATTAGATCAGGTAATACCATTTTAGTTATCTTGGAGCGTGTGTCATTCAAAACTGTTGAGTAGGACGTTGAACTTTGATTTTTTTTTTAAATCATTGATGATTCTGATCCTAGCAGAGAGCAGATTCAGACTGCTCAGCGGGAACAAAACGCATGTAGTTCGAACAACAAAGCATTTTTAAGATGAAGATGATCTTAATTTTAGATGTTTATTCTGTATTGCTGTAGTGTCATGGTCATCTTAAAGGGATACTTCGCCCGTTGAAACATGAATCTGTGTTGACATTTCTATATGTAGCAGAAATGTGAAATACATTTTGAAGTTGGTGCCTTCTTGACCGAGAAAAGACAGAAAGTGTCTTTTTGGCTCATGTGGATGAAAGACACCAACTCCCAGAATGCACAGCACCACAGGTCACTCCCACCAAGGTCCTCTACAGACATTTACTTCAACACATACGGCCGTTTCCTCAGCTGTTTATGAGATTTCTTCCAGAAGGAATTGGCATCTTCGAAATTCCTGGCAGAAAACAGATTCTATGTCTGTGTCCATAGACAAACAGTGAGAGCACCAACAGAGAGGGGCGTGGTCTGACACAGCTCATTTGCATTTAAAGCTACAGACACAGAAACAGCCTGTTCTGGGCAGGGCTGAAATGTAGGAGTTTGGCATGCTAAATCACAGTGGATTTTCGGTAAGAAAATTACATGTTTTGGGGACTTCTGAGATTCATTTAAACTGGTTGAAATGGAGATTAATATGTTTCCTTTAAGGTATTATCTCACCTCCTTCAAAGACTTTTCGTCTGGGACAAATCCAGAGAGCATTTTGATATCCACGATCACCATGTTTGTAGTTTCTCGTTTTCCCGTATATCTGTAACACAACAAGAAAAAGTTTACTCAGTGTGACCGAAGCCTTTTTGTTTGCAGGCACACATACAATCTGAGGTTCTTGGAGAGGGTTCTTATAGTTAAGATATGTTTGAGCTGAGAAGCTACTATTCAGTTGTGATCATTTCCTATTGTACATCCATCAGCAGCTTCTGTACGCTGGCGTACTATTCCCTACATGGACGTTACAATCCAGACACCCTCTCACATCTAAAGACATTTAACTTGCATGACATGAAGTTCTGCAAATCTATGGTCCTGATTCACAAAATAAATGTCCAGCTTTTGTGCCTTTACCTGTGCAAATTAGACAAAACAACACAGTTTAAATGACAATGCATGTGCAATGGGTTAACTGTGTTGCAGAGCAAATTGTATTTTTGTGCGTCAGTGCTTTTGCACATTTTAAAATCAGCCTTAATGCAGTCGTTTGGGGGAAAACTGGTCCCTTTGTATGCAAATCACCCTCATTGCTAAATTCACAAACAGCCAGGGCAGTTAGAGTGAAAATATGATAATCTGTTGAGACTTGGTGGTAACTGTTACTTGCAGAATTTCCAGTGATCAGAGATTAGGACGTACACAGTTAATACATGAAGTTTGTCATTACTCCTCACATTTATCCCTTGCTCCTGTGATGTCATTGGGAAAAAAAAAAGCCTTCAGAACATTTCAACTTTTACCGCAATTTCTTTAAAAATAAATCTGCCGATGTGAAATCAGTTGAAAGATTTTGTGTGCAATGTCAGCATAAGTTAAAGGTAAACCTGGGATACAAATATTTGTTCAGAATGACAGTAGTGTTCTGTCACTGCTGCAATATCTGCAACAAGCTGTCAATGACTACTTACACAATCTTCAAAGTCAGAGTCATCGTAGGTCTGGTAGATGAGCTGCTGCACTCAGCCTTCGTACTGACCTCCACGTCAAGTGTTGTTGCTATGGGAGTAGGCGGGACGTTGTAGTGATAAGAAATCTAGGAAAAGTCCCACAAGGAAGTTAATTATTTTCATAAAAATCAAACAAACAGCTATTTTTAAGTAAATTGTAAATATGGCAGTTCTCAACTTTCTGCAGTACTACAGAGCCAGTGACAACAAGGCATCGCTCTACTGTCAGACATGTGCACACATAGACAAGAAAGGGGATTGAGCACCAGCCGTTTTGCCCTCTGCACAGAGATTGCTTCGACGTAATAAGAATATCAGGTCTGGAGACCCCCTGTCTGCTGCAACTGCCAGCACACTTTAACGCACATATTTACTTGCATAGTCACTCCTTCAGTTTGAGTTACTCTGACACAGCAGCAGATATCGGATATATGATCAAAGTATGATCATAACTGTTGTTCATTTTGTCAAATGTTTTCATAATGCTTTCAATGCTCCAGTATTGTGACATGTGTTATTATATTAAACTGACTTCTTACCACTATAGTTCCTCAACCATACAAAAATCAGCATCTCTTTATTTCCTGTCAATATTGAAGATCAAAACACTATAAGCTCTATGGGACGTAACCATTCACCTGTGTGACTAACATCCCCTTCTCTGTTTCTACATGAGGCCCTCACCAACCAATGTTCCTGTTCCTTTTTTGTCTTTGTCATTTCATTCAATTAAATATGAACAAATGTGAAAGTGTAGGGGGAAAAAAGAGAAACAGGAGGAGCTTCAGTTATGACTGACCTGCACTGAGACACATGCATTGCCCTCCACCTCCACTGTGTACTTTCCTGTCTGGTCCATCACCAGCTGCTCCTGGTAGACCAGCTTGTTGTCCTGGTCCACTTCAAAATCAATCTCCTCATCAGAAAACTTGACAATCACTGTGCTCGAACCTTCAGGATTGAACACCAGGGTGGAGTAGAGAGCGAGAGCCTGAAGGGCCACCACTGTGTCCTGTGAAAGACATAAATTACAAATAATTATTACTTTGAAACTCCTGAGAGGAACTTTAGTTTAGTGTTAATAATAATAATGTCTCCTGCAGACAAAGCTGCTCATCATATCACTGTTGATTATGTCCTGCACGTGTGTAAGAAGTATTGACAAAACATCTCCTTCTGCTTTTGTTAGACGGTTAAACATGTCACAAAAAAAGTAGAAAAAAGAAAGCTACTTCGACAAATTGAAGTGAATCAGTATGTGTGACAGCTGCCCTGCACCAGCACAGATTAATATATAGAAATAATCAACTGCCTCAATTTGGTCTTGTTTGCTTTTGTGGGGTTGTTTAGAGGCGTCAGTGTTACAGTCATTTCAGTCAGTTTAAAAATGAGATTTAAAAAATCCTCATTGAGGACTTAAAACAGGTGAAGACATCTTGTTTTATAAAGCGGAGAACATACTACAAGAAGAACTGATTTTGGGCCCGATTCCCCCTTCAAACGATCCTAGGCAATGTCTTTATCTTTCAATTGTTCTTAAGATTATCTGGTCAGATGTTCCTGTGGTGTGAGGCATGTTAAGGCTAATCTGATCTGCTCAAAAGGACATGTTCCATATTTACGATCTCCTGTTTTGTGTGGGTAACCCAGAGGACAGCCTAGCATGCACTCTGGTGGTTTGGTCACATCGTTTAATCTATTACCATCAGTCATCATGTGGGGGCTCTCTCACATTTGAAAAATCTCTTAGGTTTTAAATATCTTTTACTGTTGGCCAGGTTTTACAGACATAGCAAGTTTTATATACCGATTAGGGCTGGGTGATATGGACCAAAACTCATATCTTGATATTGTTTAGCTGAATGGGGATACTCGATATATATCGATATGTATTTTGTTAACAGTGAAAACACATGGAAAATAAACTGCCTGTTTGTGAATTTAAATAGTAATATTATAAAATAAAAATGTTCCTTAAATACAATAAAAGAGAGAGACAGGAGGGACAGACAGTCAGTCATCATCAGTGAGATGAGAAAAAGGTGACCTGACACCTCTGTAACGTTATTTTAATGCAACATAAACTATATCCATATTAACGATGTTGTCTTACCCTATATCTTGTTTGAAAATATATCCATATATCTTAAAAACTCAATATATTTCCCAGCCCTAATACCGATCTTCAGTTTCAGCAGTTTCAGACTCACCTACAGCTGTGACTAGCCTCAGAGCATGTGAGCAGACCCTACCCCGTAGAGACCATCCACTTATACATCTAATTATTTGGTCGTGAAAAGCATTCCTTTACTCAGCCAATTAGACAAAAGGTTCAAATACAAAATGCAAAAATTGGAGAGCATAATTTGGTGTGTGTTCAGAAACTGGGTGGCCTGTCCAAAGAACGTCTACCTGGGCAAATAAGATTTCCCAGCTCTAAACTATTTGAGGGTTACCTGCGTGGAGGAGAAGCCTCCATAATACTTTTGCTGCCTGGTCAGCCATCTGACGATGCCGCTGGCGTAGCCCAGTGCTTCGGGGGAAGGAGGGGCAGCAGGAAGCGAGTATGGCGACAGTAGGGCGAGCAGCACGTAGGAGGTCATCTCCACAGATACAGACAAATATCTGTTTGTCGCTGTCTGAGCCCAGTGGGTGAAACCTCCTGCACACAGACACAAACACACAAAGGTGAGGGACATTCAGAAACAAAGCAGGATTTCATTTTTGTAGTTTTTAGACATAGAAAAATAATATGATCCCATGAGCATGAGGGGGAGGATTGCATTAAAAACCCACCAGGGACTTGCAGTTTGCAGACTTGTTTTATGTTGTTTAATTAATATTTCTGTGTTTTACATGTGCAGCTAAATTGCCTTTTGTTTTGATTGCAATGACAATAAAGATCTATTCAATCATTTAAAATGTGGAATTTTTGGCTACATTGTCTAAGTGTGCATAATGGACAATGGACAGTCTGTTTTCATATCTATGGGCTTGATTGTTGTAGCATTCACAGGTATGCACAAGATTTTTTTATAAATCCAACTCTCTGAGACGGAACATGCATTAGGGCAAGCGCTTCTTTCAGCCCTCTGTTCCCTTAAAAACTTAAATGTATCAGTAAATGCAAAAGAATATATTTAACTGAGCATTGGGAGCGCTTCTGTGCTTCCATGTTTGTCTTATGGGCAGAGTGGGAGTCTGTTTTGAACTCATTGATGTCCATCTTCATCAAGCATCCTCTAAATACCAGGGACTTACTGCACCACAGACTAAACTTTAGACCAGGTTTTATTTGTTCTCAGATGCGGCAGTTTTCTAAATCCTCAAGATAAGAACGGGTCACATGTGCGCCTGACCACACATGATTTTAAGACTAACACAAGCCTGGGAGCTAACACAGGTGCAAGCTCATTTGCTATTCAGACAACATGAGCGCTGGGCAAGAAAATGACAGTGGCATCAGGCTCTGCACTAGGCTCCAAGACGCTCTGCCCCGGGCGTAGGATAGTGCAGGAAGTAACGGCTGAAACCAGCTCACAAAGGGAATCCATATGGAAATTTTGATTGGTTAGAATAACTTATTTCAGGGTGACACACCTTCTTTTATCGCCACACTGTCAAGGTGACTCAAAAGTTTGTTACTGGTTTCCATGTCTCCCGCCAGAGTGAAGACATACGCCTGCAGAGCTGTAGCGTAGGTGTTTGCGACGTTATCGATCGTCTTTTTCAGGCACGAGAGGCTCTTAGTGACAGTTTCCTGTAACAGATTGAGAGAAAACAATATAATTAATAAAAGAAGTAAATCATAGGACTGATTTTAGATCATTTTCACAACAACATCGTCCATCTTTACAAACAGTGGATGGGATAACCGGATGAATCATTTAATAACATAATCAAACGGTTTACAGTGAAACCACACAAACTCACTGAGAGGAGGGTACTCACAGTCACAGTCGGGTTCATCTCCAAGAAGGCAGCCGTGATGTAAGCAGTGATTATCACTTCATCAGACACACCGCCCTGCAGAGAGGAAGCATCATACAGACATTATCATCACTACAACTTCCAGAGGATCAATTCATAAAATTATTTTCAGTCAGCAGATTTCCAGTGGTTGGTCAAGGTTGGCAGGTTTCTTTTAGGGCTCATCAAGAGTAACATAAATTATGAGTTGTGGTGTAAAGTCCCTCTGCACCTTTAAGAAAAAGCTAAAGACCCAGCTCTTTCATGATATACTAACTTAATGATGATGGTCTCCATATTATTGATGATGATGATGGTAATGACAATGGTTTTTGTTTGATACTGACGACTTATAAGATGGTTTCTATACTGATTAGAGCTCTCAAGAACTGCTGTCAATGTTGTGCTTTTACTCTGCGTATTGCCTGTCAGCACCTGTGTGTCCAATCGGACTCAAAGCTGATCATTTGCTCTTACTGACATTGTTCCCTTTTTCTCTAGATCCTTGCTTCTTTTGTACTTACTCTCTGATGTACGTCGCTTTGAATAAAAGAGTCTGCTAAGTGAATTGTAGAATTGTAAAGTCCACACTAAACTCTAAGCTAGTTTCTATTTTAAATTGTGTCATAATTTGGTTCCAGTCTTTCCTCTCATGTCTAATCGGCTCTGGACAGACTAAGGGCTGAAATAACATTGGTAAACTGACATCAATCCACAAACAGAAACTAAAATGTTTGTCATATATGACAAAATATTATGATAAGGTTATGACTAAAGCCTACAGCCTTGATCTACAGCTAGTGTCAAATAACAGTGACGTCTTTTTGTGAAATGATCTCCACTCATGGAAAACCAAAGCAGTCACAGAGAACACACTGCTGACACCAAACAGGTGGTAAAATCATCTTCTAATCCTCAACCCTCCAAGTTATCCTACTTGTCAAAACCATCGCCATGGCAACCGTGTTAGAAATTCAGGATTCTTAAGCCAAGAATCTGGTAAAAAAAGGGCTATTTTTGACTCTCTTAGCACACATAATTCAATGAAGAATAGATTTTAAAATCTTGTCTAAAGACGGGAGAATATCTCATGAGTTTTGTCACATGTGCAGTTCATAACAAAATGGTAGGAATTTTAAAACTCTCGTAATCAGAGCCCAGTTTATCCTTCTTTTGTCACTTGTTTCTGATTACCTTTATGTGGTTGTTGAAGAATTTTCCCATCAATTTAAAATTGCCACTGCCCTTTTGACTGTTTGTTAGCCAGATCATAGCATCGTTGATAACTTTCGGATCGATAAAGATGAAATTCTGAGCCTTGACAAAAGATCTCATCGTGAAGGCGGTCAGCCTGCAGAGTAAAAAAAAAAGTTAGATATTTGAAACAACTGGAAGCACTCGATCCGAGTTTTCATTTTTCACAAAGGGCACTAATATATCAAATATAACACTTAATTATAAGGTAAGTCTCTAGGCTAGTTCTTACATTAATAAGAAGTACTTAATAATACAAACATTCACATAACACAAAAGTAATATTACTGTTAAGAGCTTTTGAGTTATAATAGGATGCAATGGCTGGTTCACGGTGCAAATAATTAACAGTGTGCATGTTAGAGAGGTTAGAGCAGCCAGACGACGCTATCAGGATTTTCAAAAAGATTTTTTATAACTGTTATCACTGCTACCTGGCTAAACAGGGTACAGTGAGCAGACTTCAATGGTCTTTGTTTTCATTTTGCAATGGTAGAGACTCATTGAAAGTGACAACATTGCACAAAAAGTAAGGAAATTTGTGTTTGGTAGGTTATTTCTTTGTTGAAACAACGCTTCTTGGCAATAAATTGTATACCGTTGGAACGCCTGTTTATTTCCCTTTTAAATGGTGCCACATTTGTAAGGAACATGCATTTGTGGGATAAGCAGCAAAGCTGAGTATGTGGGGTCTGCCCATGAAATACTTGTCAAATCTTCTCTGCCAATATTTGGAGTGAAATATGAACAAGGGAATGTTTAGAGCGACAAACTAAGGCTTCATTTAGTGGAAACCTACAATAAGGGTTACATTTTGCTTGTGGATCAGTAATATTCTCACCAGGTGTTTCCTGATCCTCCTGATCCAAATGTGCTGAAAGCGCCGTCGTTATTTTTGTAGTTCAGCTGTCTCTGGTAACCTGTATAACATTAGAATAATGATCAATAGGGGAGTAACAGTATGAGCAACACTTCTTCTGTTGGCATATCTAAACGTATAAATGTTCTGTTTTAGCAGAAACGTTGAACTAACAGAGACTCACCGCTGGTCAGAAAGTTGGTACCCTTTGCCTCGATGTCTGGGGTCAACTGTTTTGTGTCTTCCAGGTATTGGAGGATGTAGATGTTGGGGGCCAGAACCGCCATGTTCTGCTCAGCGCAACCATATGGCATCCGCAGCAGACCGTCCAGGTTCTTCAGGGCTCTGCCCATGATGTCACCTGACAGCAAAACAGACTCACTATGAGTGCACATGCAACCAAACTGACCTTTAATCTCAAGATGGAGAATTTGTATTCTGCCTATTCTATGGTGGTATCTTATAGGAGACTCAATGGAACATTATTTATTTGCTTTTAGCATATTTAAATGTTTTGGGAAGAGGTCAAAGTTACAAAGAAAAGATCACTTCAAAATCAATCATCCATGACCCTCAGCTTCTTTTCAGAATTTATTCTGAGAAACATAAAAATATGGATAAGACGGCTGTTATAAAACCTTCCTTTAGAAATAACAACTTGTAGGCTCAACAGCAGATGTTTGAGAACAAATGGAATTAGTTTTAAGCACGATCAAGAGAATTATTTGTTCCTGTGGCCAATGCTGCATGAAGAATGACATACATTCTAGATTCTGCTTCTATGGCAATAATACTCTCAATTTTGTTTAGGCTACCATGTTTTATGTCAAGAGAAGCAGTTTTGCTTTGCTTTTTGTAAATATATTTTTTTTGCTTTGTTGATAAATTAAATAATTATATGCCTAGATATGTATTATTAAAATGTAAAGAGCTGTGCCTTGTGGTGCATAAAGTTAATTAACATACCGAGTAAGAATAACTGGAACAAATCATTAAACTTTTCATTGAAATATATGAATGAAATACAAATATGTCCAGCCCACAAACTGGTATTGTGTATTCAGTTATTTTACTCTGTTTTCCTGTGATAATTAATCAGTTTTTGAATGTTTTCTGGATATCCTGACATTAATGTTTTCCCTTGATAAAGGAGGAAAGTCTTTCCAGTCAATGTGTATGATTGTATTAGTTTACCCAGGACTGATACAAGAGAACGTCCAGATCCATCAATCTCATCCTCGGGGAGCTGTATCTCTACTTCCTCCGTCAAAGTCTCATCTGTAAACAGACAGAGAAACGAGCGTCTTATGAAGAGAAACTCAAATTAAAGTGTCATTAACATGTATGTGAATGGTCAGTGGATCAAGAATGAAAAAATAAAACAGAGTGAAAAGGAGATCAATGTGACACAATTTGGTGTTCAGGGAGCAACAACTACAGTAGGTATCTCAGTGATGAATTTAGAATATGAGACACTGTACATTTTTTTGGGACCATTAAACTACACGCGAGTAGAAAAACACAGCAAAGTTACCGTTTGGACACAGCAGCAAGTTGGACGACTTTATCTTCTCGATTCCCTCAGCCTGATGGGGAAGGAAACAGCACCTTATCGTTTGTGTGATTTGCAGGTATCATTTTTCATCCTGTGACATCCCATGATTAATCCTTTTTAAAAAATGTTCCTCTTGTCTGTTCTTGAATTGCTGTCTTTGGCAGCTTCCACTCACCAACGTCATGACGCAAATATTTTTGAAGTCATATGATTGGTGTAACGTAACTATAGTAAACATTAATGATCAAGGGTTATTACAGCCAACTTTTCTGTCTGAACTGTGAAGTCAAATATGTTGATTTCAGTTTATTGAGTGTGTCAGCTCGTCCATGATGAAGTCTAGGAGCAATCTAAGAGGGCAGATATCCACATCAGTGACTTGTTCCCAAGCCCAGACGACTCAGATATTTTCTACACACATCAGCAAACATATGGTATGTGTTACCTCAGCTTCTCCAGGTGACATCAGCTTTATTATGGATGAAACTCAATACTGACTTTTACTTTGCGTTCCTCTCCAATACGTATAATGGTATATTATACTACAGTGCTCCCAATATTGAGCTTGTGTTTGTTTAAAGGTTAGTTGTCTGGCAACTTTGTGGTTAATCAGAGTTTTGTTGTTGTGTAGGTAGTGTTAGTGCGTTTGTCTACTCTCTCATGCACGCTCAGTGATCTCTGTGAACGTACACGTGGGGAACTAGAAGATAAAGGTTTCATACACCGGATTGGTTCTTGTGCATAATATGAAATGTAATCCTGCCGGCACCACTGCCTCCTTCTATCACACACACACACACACACACACACACACACACACACACACACACACAAAATCAACCTTAAGGGACAACCTTTGACTTTGTCATCTTACTTTTAAGATACCAACCTTTACTTTAAGAGTTCTTGAGACCGTGTCAGAACGACCTCTCTCTGGCACACTCACTACCTCATTGTTGCATGTGATATCGGACACCACAGCCTCAGCAGTCGCAGAAACAATCACATCTCCTGAAAACAAGATAAACAAACACATTTTTTAAATATCCTGTAAATTCCAAAGAATCAAATCAATGATGTCTTCACTAAAATCGTATGCATCAGTGTGGATGAAGGCTGTGTTCTAACCTATGACTGAAGGGGTCAGGGTCCATCTGAAGCTTTTGCGCTCATTACCACACAGACATGTTCTGAACTCATCTTCAGGGTTTGGAAAGAGTGTGAAATCAGATGAGGGGGCTGGGGTCACAGTGACCTGTACAGAAGAGATAACAAAATAATAGATAATTGGAGATTTACAGAGCACATTTATTAAAATAAGAACAGATTTTTTGTAAAGCATAATAAGCACATATAAGTAAATCTTAAGAAATATTTTGATATCCAGTCATCATTAGTTGAAAAACGGATGAACTTACGTTGTGACTAAATTTACAGGCTTTCCAAAAAAAAGTGATTCAATTTGAAAAAAAAAAAGACAAACAACAAAAGAGCTCCTCCAAAGTAAAGCCAAAACATGGAGCTCCCCGTGCTGACTGGCTGCAGTAGAAGTTTTAAGCTCTGCCTCCTCCATGGAAACAGATCAAGTGTTCATTTTTGTAATAAGGTCTGTCTTTATACCTGTAAAATCCAGAATATGAGTCTCAACTGTACAGCAAGTCTCGTAGGGCTTTCACATTTGCAGAAAACTCCTCAAAAACTCCTGAAATTTCCAGGAGAAGCTGTATGTGTGAACGCAAACAGACACATTTTTCACTCAGACTCTAACAGGAGTTTCTTCTGCCATCCCCCTAGTGTTTTTTCCACTTTAAGTCTGAGTGAGCTGAAGTGAGAATACAGAAGGATATAATCTGGAGAATTCTCCTTGAATTAGTGAGAAGGTGTGGGGGGTGATGTTTATATCCTGTGACCTGTGCTAGAATCTCTGTGCACGTAATTAAACAGCTGCAATACATCTTTTTTGTTCTCCAGTATGTTCCTCTCCGCACGTTTGTTGATAATGTTGCTCCGTCGAACAACAGAAATCATAGAAAGGCAAACTTTCTCAATAAAGAGAAAGCGGACTCGTCCACCACTTACACCATTTAAAGCATGCACAATTTTAGTTTATGGGTTCAAACGATCCATCAAAAGTTCTGTTTGCAAACTGCCCGAAATATAGAATAGAAAATATAAGTATAGAAAAGGCATATAAAGACAGTTTGAACGTGAGTCACTTGTGTTTATCCTTTGCGGGGTTTAATTGTGTTTGGTTGAAGGGAGAGCTTGCTCTTGTGTTCTACTGAGACAGAAATATTCTGATAAAACCATTTCTGTTTTTTAGTTAAGCTTACATTTCAACCAATCAAGTTATGTTCTGCAACCGTAAGTCACATAAAATAAAGACAATTACTTCATTCGTATTAGTTTCAGCTTTGAGCAGTTATTTGCTGACATTAGCTATTAGATCATAAAAACATTCATTACCATGATGCAGCTGGACAGGTAGTTGAAGACGGTCGCCTTCAGCTCAAAGTTCTCGCCTCGGATGATGGAGTAAGGCAGGCTGAGCTCCAGGAAGAAAGGCTGGAAGACGGTGAGCTCTTTACGAGGAGCTAAACCAAAACCCTGAGAGGACAAACAGAAAGCCTCCGTCTCCCAGGTGGTGATGGTGTCAGGAACAGTGAGGGGCACATTCTTGGTACCAGTCTCTCTGTTTATCGGCAGGAACACAAAAACAGTGTTGTAACAGTCCGTCTCCCTTTTTCTCATCCACAGTCACATTCAGCTTCCAAAGGTCTTGTGTATCTCATCCTCTCAAACAGAGGCCCACGTTCTTCCTCCTCCTTTCTCAACCATACACCTCTCCCCAGATATAATGGACTCACCTGATATTCTCCACTCCACTTGTTCATCTGTCTTAAACTCATGTCATATTAACCCCCCATAATTTGTTTAGCTGAATGCTTTTCGTTGTCAGTATTTGCTGCCATAAGATACTATGAAAGAAGTCTTTGCTCCACAATATATTTACATTGGGTTTTCAAAGCTCTAATGACGTCCCACACTGGCAGGCAAGAAGGCTTCAGTTGCTACCTACACGTTTTGACCAATTTTATTTTTTAAACTAAAGCCATTTACTGGTGTTGAAAGTGATGCAGTAACCAATGAAAAAACAAGACAAGGTTGGACTTCTACAAAATGTAATCTAAGTAAGAAAACCCAGAGGTACATATTGTGGATTAATGATGTTAGACGCTCCGCTGTCAGGGAAAAAAAGAACAGACTTCCTCTAATCCTGCCATAAAATATTGTGTTAACTTGATCCAAATATTACTGCCTTTTAACTAACAGTACTGCCCCAAATCACTGATAGTGAGAGGGGACAGGGGTCCTGATACTATCGTTAGCTAACATTAACTAGCTAATGTTAGCTAATAAGCACTCGCCTATGCTTGGATGATGATGAAGTTCTTGCCCTTCTACGGCAGTATTTTTGACCCAGTCACTTTAAAAATACACAAAGCTGTCAGTACTTTTGTAGACTTTCATCCTACAGGGGGCTAAGGGGAAGGATTATCTTCTAGATACAGTATATGTAAATGAAAGAGATTGAAAAAGTGTCCCATGTTCTGTATAATGGTCAAAAGTGGCCAAAACTTGCAGTCGATTTTAATATCTGTTTTCTGTGGTTGTCGGGGTTGCCGCCCCCCCCCATTTCATAACAATAAAAATAACATTTGTGAAGTGTTTTTAAAACTGAGCTCACCCAATTTCTATCAGATCCCATATCCAAGTCTCTGGGAAGAAAGTACGGACTGTCACTATTGGTGGTGGAAGCGTTCCTCCAGAAGCCTGAGCAAGTGGTAACCTCAATGGACGCCTCTCGAAAACATCGTAACCTGAGGAAGAGCACACACAATTGCTCAAATGCCACAAAAAGTTTTGATTCATCACAATGTTTCGGTGATCATTTTTTAACAAAGGAAGGGAGGCCACACACCATATTTATAGATATTCAAAATGTCCCACATCTATAAATAATGAAACACATCTATAAAACCATAAAAAAAACAAAAAAACATACAGAATTAATATGTAAAGTTCAGTCAACACATCTGACTTGATTATTTAAGTCCAGCTGTTCATAATGTTTACAGGTTCTAATTTATCTATTTTAGATATATTTTCATTATTATATAAAGATGTGCAGCCAAGTTTAAACAGTAGTAGAGTGATTGTATGTAGTGCAATCATAAGTGAAAATGCACTTTGTGATAATTACCGTGTCGAGTTTCAAGGAGAGTAGTGCTTTTGATTTGGATGAGATCCAACTTGAGTTTTGGGTGGTGTTTGTTTATCACTTTTGGTGCATCCCTGAACTCATCCTTTAATAATGGATCAGAGTTTTAAATATGCCAGTGTTTTCTTATTGTGGTTACAAAATATTTTCCCATAGGGGAGTAATTTAAAGAGCATTTAAGGCTG